CCTCTCTAGATTTCATCTTTCCGTTATCAGCCCCTTCATCATTGAGTTACCTGGAGGCCAGTGGCTCTTGTCTGTCTTTATTCTTCTTATCATTATGATTTTCTGCAAACCCAAAATGGAAAAATCTACTCAGAAATCAAGCAGGTCCCATTTCACACATTACAAACATGGAGCCTATGTGATCAGAGACATAACACTGTCCACGTGTGCTCAGAATGATCTGAAAGAATTATTCCAGAAGGCCGCAAGTTGTGTCTTTAGAGAATGGCCTAGCAGGCTTTCTTGAGCTCACTGGACAGGGTGTTCCTGGTGTGTTGAATCTTTACCATGACATCTGCTGGCAAAAAGTTTAACACCTTTTGTTCCCCAGCTCACAGGTTACTTGCCTGGCTGCCTTTTGGACTTCTCCAGCTGTAACCTTCATTCCTGCTATAAGACTGATTTCTAGCCCATTTTTGTGTGCCCCATTACAGCTCTCACACAGAACCTTCTCCAGTCTCTGAGGAGAAGACAAATAAACATGTCCTACCTCTACTTCAAAATCAGAGGACTGCACAGGCACCTACAAGTCTGCCCCTGTTGTGGTTCCTCAGATGTTCTCAGGGCTAATTCTTTCTATGAAGTGTTCCGGTATAAGTGAACTTTCCCAACAGCAGGTTCTACTACATCTAGCACCTAAACTAACCCCTAAAGTGAAATGCAGTCATGAACATTACTTCAGTTAATCTCTACAGAAACCATGGAATGTATAATTTGACCCACTTTACAAATGAGGAAACAGCAATTCAAGAAGGATCAATCACTTGTACAAAGTTAGTAAGTAACTAATTAGCAAATCACAGTGTTGAGACTAGAGGCTGGGTAATTCTGATTCTTAGTCCAGGGCTCTTTCCATTCTAACAAGCTGCCTCCTATCATATTCCTTCTGCCCACTATGATTGAATGGAGACTTTTGCTTCTGCCCAAGATGTAGTAATATGGACCAGATCTGTCCTCCCATCTTAAACAACTAAAAAACTGGAATAGGTATTGTAGACAGTAGCTTTCAACACCAGATATCATACAGTAGTGATCCCTGTGAGACAGAACACAAAGAAGGTGAGTGTTACAACTGCTTCAGTTTGCTGCCTGTTTTAGTGAAAACTAAAATAAGTAATCTGCAAAGGGGGTAACTTTGCATCTTTCTCCTCCTTTGGGGAACTTGGGAGGAGCTAAGTGTTTCAGAACCTGTAGAAAACTTACTCATGGTGAGTTTTCTGACAAGGCTCTCTGCCAGCTGGCTTCCTTGAGCCAGCTGCTCACAGAATCTCTGTCCCTGGTGGTAGTCAATGCCAGGGCTCCTGAGAAGGCCCTGAAAACATGTGACTGTGTTCTTCACATGCTGAGTGAAAAGGTAACAGACGCCTCTCCCTTCCTGTATCTTCTGCCGCAAGGGGGTCAGTTCTTGGGCCTGAGCCTGAATTAGGGGCTCATATTTCCTGTGGTGGGAAAGAAGATGAAAATGTAAGAGTGAATGTAGTAAATGATAGGTTACAGAAGTTTCAGCAGAGCCATCTCTTAGAACATCCCTAAGGGCCTCCATCAGTTGAATTCTTGTGCAAGTTGTGTGACCTGCTTGTGGCAGAGGGAATGAGAAAACATCTGTTTGCAACCCAGAGATGTTTGTTTATTTGTTTGCTGAATTTGCTTTTCAAAGTTGCGCCTTCAGTTCCTCACTTGAACCCGAGTCATTTCCATGTAGAATACATGAAACATTATGTAGNTTGGATGTGTTGTCCCCTCCAAAACTCATGTGGAAATCTGATCTCCGATGTGGCAGTGTTGAAAACTGATTGAGTCATGAGGGTGGATCCCTCATGAATGGATTAATGCTCTCCCTAGGTCGGGGAGAGTAATGAGTGAGTTCTCACTCTGTTAAGTTTCCATGAGAGCTGATTCTTTAAAAGACCTGGCACCTCCTCTTGCTTCCCCTCTCTTGCTTCATCTCGCCATGTGATCTGCTTGTACCCACCGGCTGCCTGCCACTTTTCACCATAAGTAGGAGCAGCCTGAGGCCCGTGCCAGATGCAGCTGTCCCAGAATCGTAAGCCAAAAAAACCTCTGTTCTTTATAAATTACCCAGTCTCAGGTATTTCTGTCATAGCAACACAAAATGGACTAATACAGGGGGCTTTATGCTTTAAATGTCCTGACTCACCTTTATCTTTTCAGAGCACATGTCTGAGACTTCTTAGACTTGTATCTCCAGGGCAGCAGTGCTAATGAGTTCTCAAATAAACCTTCTTGTTTTATATCTCAACCAGGTGATTAATTTACTTTGGTTGACACAACAAAGGGTTAAAAGACATTTTTAATGCTGCAATGTACCATATGCCTGGAACCCTCTAAGGATGAGCAATGCTGATCCTGAGCAAATTAATAATTCATTTTTCAGACAATAGCTACTCAATTACCTATCACCCAATAGCCCTACCACTTAATACTCCTCATAGTATGATAATTTTTCTAAAAAAAGTTGAGAAGAAACATTTTTCTCATGAAAGGCACTTTGGAAAGCTTGAAAATATCTCTCGTAGAAGTGTTAGTACATTAGTGACAACCACCATGCCTATAAAAAATGAGAGCAAGAGTAATAATTATAGCAAGTAGTTGT